AAAATCTCTGCGAGATTTTCTTTGAACTAGATTCCAAATCTTTCATAATCCTTGAAAAGGCGCAAGGTTAACCAGAACTTTGCAGTTTGCACTGAAATAACTGCACTAATTCAAAAATTAACCCTTAATTTGTCAAATAAAAAGGTACAAGCATTTCCACTCGGACATGTCTTGGGCGATTAATATAGGTAACCACTTTTTCCCACCTACGCATGTCTAGGATGTGGGTTTTTAAAACAAACTTAATTCTGAAACCAATATAAATTATAGTTTCCTTATGGCCAACTTTTACTAATTTTCCTCAAATTTGAGCTTTGTTCAAGCTTATTCTCTACATTTACCTTGACGATAAGATAGTGACAAGAGTAATGTTATTCACTCCCAGTGGGGATGAATACACAGTTTATGTGGCTTTAAATAATAAGTTAAATGAAATGTGATATTAAATGACTTATTTAATTTCACCTATTATTTAATGCTATATTGATGTCACGTAGACCATGTTTTCATCCCCAATGGAAATGAATAGCATTACTCTAGTGACAAAGTTTAATGCTAAATTTAGCGAGTGTTGGCACCCATTTTAATGGAAATAGAAATTTTGGAATAGTGATTGATGAGAGAATGCGTGGTGGAAAAGTGATGAAAAGTTATAGATTTTTATGTAATACTATTTTATTTGGAAAATGTGTGGTTGAAATGAAGAAAGAAAAATAAAAATTAAAGAGAATGAGTGTTGAACAGCGGCTTAATCTCAATGGAATCTAGTCACATTGTTTCTTAGTTTCGAGTCCAAGTCGGAACTAAGGATCATAATTTAACGCATATATTAGCCTCCGTTTGCATTCATACCTACAAATATTTTATAAATTCAATCAAAATCAAATATTAAATACAACGACATATTCATAACTACTATTCATTATTATCCACACATTTTGTATTATCAACTACTACTTCTTTTACTATTCCTCTAAATAAATAATTTATAATTTTGTCAAAAGGAGGATTAGTAATAACAATTTTATTGTTTTTGCTTGGTTTCTATATATAAAAATCTATTTTGAGGTTCTCGACGAGAAAATATCTCATATTCTCATTTACTTCTATAGAAGTTCACTTTGCAAAATGGTTCACCGTCGAACCGTTGATCAACGATCTTTTTACTTGATCCTAAAGGGTGAAATGAAAGAACAATTCACCATATCAATGAATATCATTGGTCATTGCCAAGAAAAGAAGACGTAGGACCATTAAGAGATGTGGCCACAATCTCCATTTTGTGCTAGCCGTTGAACTTATCCAATTGAGGGGACCAAGCCTTGTTTGGTTGTTATTTTCCATAAAAAGCAATATAGTAGTTTTTAAAAAAATAAAAAATCACGAGGCTTGTTCGTCCTTAACATAGTTTCAATACATGACGCGTGTACTATGCATAATATTGTGATCCGACTCAATTTATTAAAAAATATAGATCAATCTTATTATAATTCGAGTTTTTTGTAAAGAAAAATGTGCTATTTCTTAAACGAGCAAAATCTGAATGGCTGGAACCGGTCTAATTTGACCGGGTTAGATTCTTTTAGCATTACTAGTCAAACGCACATGCAATGCGCGTCTCATGATGTAGTTAAGTACGTAATAGCGTATGTATTAAAAAAAATATCTATGTCAAACATTAGTTACATAAAATTTTCTTATAAGTTGCTAAAAGTTTCGAGGCAACATTAAATGTGGAGATGAAAAAAAATGACACCCACAGTTATTGAAGAAATCGAGGCTCACCTTCCACCACAACCTCCATAATATCTATGTCAAACATTAGTTACATAAAATTTTCTTATAAGTTGCTAAAAGTTTCGATGCAACATTAAATGTGGAAATGAACAAAATCACACCCACAGTTATCGAAGAAATCGATGCTCATCTTCCACCACAACCTCCAATTATCGAAAAATATATTCTCATCAATCTCCAATAGAGCAGTCATTGTCATTTATTTCATAAACCCCTAATCAATTTTTAAGCAAAAGAAAAGGGAAAAAAACTCAAAATAAATAACTAATAAACCCAA